CAATGGTAAATGGGATTGTTTTCTTAGTTTCTCTTTCTGTGAGTTCATCATTGGTGTATAAGAATGCCATAGATTTTTTGACGTTAATTTTGTATCCTGCTACTTTGCCAAATTCATTTATTAAGTCTAGTAAATACTTGATGGAGTCTTTGGAGTTTTTTATGTATAGTATTATGTCATCTGCATATAATGACAGTTTCACTTCCTCTTTTCCCACTTGGATCCCTTTTTAATTATTTTCCTGTCTGATTGCTGTGGCTAAGACTTCCAGTACTATGTTAAATAAGAGTGGTGAGCCCTGGCTGGTTTTGCTCAGTGGTAAAGCGTTGGCCTGCGGTCCAGAGAGACCCGGGTTCGGTTCCTGTTAAGGGCATGTACCTTGGTTGCAGTTTTTCTCCAGCCCTGGTTTTGACATGCAGGTGGCAACCATTCGATGTGTCCCTTTCACGTCGATGTTTCTCTCTCTCTCTTTCCCTCCCCACTCTATCTGAACAAAAAATGGAAAAATGTCCTCAGGTGAGGATAAAAAATAAATAAATAAATAAATAAATAAATAAATAAATAAATAGTGGCGAAAGTGGGCATCCTTGTCTTGTTCCTGTTCTTAAGGGAAATGCTTTTAATTTTTGCCCTTGAGTATGATGTTGGCTGTAGGTCTTTCATGTATGGCCTTTATTATGTCGAGATATGATCCCTCTATTCCCAGATTGCTGAGCATTTTTATCAGAAATGGGTGCTGGATTTTGTCAAATGCTTTTTCAGTGTCTATTGATAGGATCATATGATTTTTATCTTTCATTTTGTTTATGTGGTATGTCACATTTATTGATTTGCAAATATTGTACCAGCCTTGCATCCCTGGGATGAATCCCACTTTACATTTACAAATGTTTTAAGAAATATATAATATCATACTTACCTGGCAGGGAAAATAATATGATCATGAAGGTGGTTTTCCCAGGGTGAGGCTTATCCATTGCACTCCGGATGTGCTGACCCCTGCGATTTTCCCAAATTTGGGAAACTTGACTGCATAATTTGTGGTAGTGGGCGACTGCGTTCACGCTCTCCCCTGAAAACAAACAAACAAAAGAAATATGTAACATGAAAAGTAGAAGAAATTTTTTACAGTCTGTGCCCACCTACCCTAAGTTGCCATTGCCTATTTTGGTATGTCTCTCAAGATGCTGTACTTTGTGGTTTTGAAGCAGATTGTGTCTTAACACACAATATATTTGACCCCATCCCCCAATTGTACCACAAATTGAGATTCCTTGGCAGTTTAGAGTATATGTAGCAAGTTGTGTGTATGTTTATGTGTAAAAGAGAGAGACAGAATAAATGTTATGAACTCACCCTTGCTGCTTTTCTAGGAAATGCATTTCAGTTCTTGATTTGTATCTTTCATAGGAAATTATGTTATGAATTAGATAGTTAGGTCATTCATTTCTTTAACATGAATATATTAAAACTTAGTTCAATCCCAGAATGTCCTTATCAGAATTATCCAAGAAATAATAAATATAAATAAAGGGCTGGTTATGAATTATGAGCCACATATGTGCTCATCTGATGGAGAGCTGTCAAGAACATGGTGGGTTAGGTATGGTTTCTTTTTCTTTTTTTTTTTTTTAATCTTCACCCGAGGACATTTTTCCATTTTTTGTTCAGATAGAGTGGGAGGGAGGGGGAGAGAGAGAGAGAGAGAGAGAGAGAGAGAGAGAGAAACATAGCCACGTGAAAGGGACACATCGAGTGGTTGCCACCCGCACGACCCAACTAGGGCTGGGGACAAACTGCAACTGAGGTACGTGTCCTTAGCAGGAACCTAACCCAGGTCTCTCTGGACCACAGGCTGATGTTCTAACTGCTGAGCCAAACCGGCCAGGGCCAAAGAGAGAATCTTAAAAGTAGCAAGAGAAAAGCAGTTTGTTACCTTCAAGAGAGCTCCCATAAGGCTGTCAGCCAATTTCTCAAAAAAAACTTTGCAGGCCAGAAGGGAGTGGCAAGAAATATTCAAAGTGATGAAAAGCAAGGACCTACAACCAAGATTACTCTATCCTGCAAAGCTATCATTTAAAATCGATGGACATATAAAGAGTTTCCCAGATAAGAAAATGCTAAAGGAGTTCTTCACCACTAAATCAGTATTATATGAAATGTTGAAGGGTCTTCTTGAAGAAGTAGAAGATAAAAAAAAATATGAACAATAAAATGACAATAAATACATATATATCAATGATTGAATCTACAAACAAAATGAACAAGCAAAAGAGAAACAGACTCATAGATACAGAGAACTTTTTGTTGGTTGCCAGATGCAAGGTGGGTTGGGGGAATGAGCAAAAAAGATGAAGGTATTAAGAAGTACGAATTGGCCCTGGCCAGTTTGGCTCAGCGGTTAGAGCGTTGGCCTGCGGTCCGGAGAGACCCGGGTTCGGTTCCCGCTAAGGGCATGTACCTCGGTTGCAGTTTGTCCCCGGCCCTGGTTGGTCGTGCGGGTGGCAGCCACTCGATGTGTCCCTTTCACATCGATGTTTCTCTCTCTCTCTCTCTTCCTCTCTCTCCCTCCCACTCTATCTGTACAAAAAATTGAAAAATGTCCTCGGGTGAGGATTAATAAAAAAAGAAGTACAAATTGGTTGTTAGACTGATGAACCTCAAAGGGAAGAGGGTGGGGAGGGTTGGTAAGAGATAAACTAAAGAACTTATATGCATAATCAATGGACACAGACAATAGTGTGGAGAAGGGATAAGGGAGGCTGGACCAGGGAGGAGAGACTCAATGGGGGAAAAAAAGGGAGGGCATCTGTAATACATTCAACAATAAAGATAAGTTTTAAAAATATAAATAAATAAAACATGCAATACCTGACTGTTTAGTGAGGGGCACTGACCTCTTTTCCCTTAAATTGTCAAATTAAAAAATAACAGCAGTCCTGGCCGTGTGGCTCAGTTGGCTGAGCATCATCCCGTGCACTGAAAGGTCACCCATTTGATTTCTGATCAGGACACATGTCCAGGTTTTGGACTCGATCTTCGGTCAGGGTGCATGTAGGAGGCAGCTGATCGATGTTTTTCTTGCTCTCTCCCTCTCCCTTCCTCTTTCTTTCTCTCCTAAAAAAAAAAAGAATATTTAAAAAATGACAACAGCCAACACAATAATGGCCATCTGGTATGAATGAATCAAAATTTTACCTATTTTTTTTTTTTTGTCAGATTGGCAAAAAATATATTTTTTGGTGTGCCCCAGAATTTTAGTAGTTTATGTGTACCATAAGATGAAAAAAGGTTGAAAATCGCTGTTCTAGAGACTATCAAAATCACCTGGAAGATGCAGGTATCATTCTTGCTACCAGCTCCACCTTTTCACAGACTCATAAATATGAGACAGTTGCAGGTGCAGATTTAGTGCTTCATGCTCTGAGATTAGAGAATCTGCACCCAAGATTAGTTCCTCGAGCCCTCTTCTTCACAGATGTAAGTAATAGAAAAGCAGAAAAAAGTTGCTCATCCTTAAAGAGGACAAATGACTCCTTCCCCCCTCCCCCCCAAAAAAAGGACAAGATGGTGGCACTTGTAGGTGAAAGGGCAAAAGTCTTCTGCAAAATAAGAGGTCAGTTTAGTGAGAAGTAAAAAAACGACAACCATCATTACTCAAAATTCCGCACATTCCTGTGTCATAGGGCAGAGGTAAATGAATGCTAGGCACACCAAACATCTGGTCAGAGCACCAACAAGGCCAGAGCACCACAAAGAAAAGAAAAAGGTCATAATTTGATTGCTTAAAACACTGAAGCTGTCACATTGGGGGGCGGGGCAGAACTTCTTTTGACTTTCTAACATTTATTTTGTGGTTTACTATTGTATTTTATCTTGAATTACATAGGGAGGGAGGAAGAGAAATTCCATAATTGTTTTTCTTTGTTGAGGGTTTGTATATGTATTCAGGGACACATTTTTAGTGGGTTTGGAGCTTTGACTATGATAAACAGTATCTGTGTGTATGCAACATTAGTTGAGTAATTGAGGTGAATGCCTTTGAGGGCTTTTCACAATTCGCCGCCTCCGCTTGCACCGCATTCTGGAGGCGGAGGACTGGCTGCTGCCTCCGCTGCCAGAGAGACACAGGGGAGGCCAAGGCCTGAGCAAAGCCGCCTGGAGATTCCCACGCCACGCGCTCAAGGAGAAGGCCAGGAAACACCTACCCGCCCCGGGCGATTGCACAGTCTGTTTGCTCACACAATCAGGTTGAAGTCCGGAGTTTTACACACACACACACACACACACACACACACACACACACACACACACACACAAACCCGAGTCTCACATGTTAATTTAAGTCTCTTTTCAAATAAAATAATGCATAACTCACAACTTTTTAAAAAAATTAGTCAACTTGCATAATAAGCATAGGTGGCTGTCAGCCTGGGAGTGTTTCGCTAAGAAAAAAAAAGGGGCGAGGGGGAACCAACCTAAGGTATTCAAGGCCCCTTTTAGAAATTCCAGTTCAACCTGAAAATAGAACTATGGGTGAGGAACTGACTTCAAAGTCCAAGGAGCAGTGAAACAAATCTCTCTGGGTCATCGGGTTAGAATTTTACAAAACTTTACAATGTGTGCTAAAATTAAGTCTAGAATCATTGTTTCATTAAAAAACAAACAAAACCCCTCTACTTTGAGGACCAGTGGTAATCAGGTTAGTGTTCATTCGTTCGTGCGACTCCTCCACGCTACCTTTTGCAAAACCCCCAGAGCCGTCCAGCGAACCGCCTGCGCATTGTTGCCGCCGACCTCCCAGGGTTCCCAACTCAGGCAAAGTCCCGCAACAGGCAGGACACCCCTCACGCAGACCCGGGTCCCCACCCCTCGGCGGCCCGCGGGGGGGGGGGGGGGGGGAGGGGGGGGCAGGCCTTGGGCTCACAGCGGGGGTTCCGGTCCCGGGCGGATCACGTGCCGTGGGGCGGGGCGGGCGGGTATATAGGCAGGTCCCCGGGGCTTCCTCGGGACGCCTTGGGTGTTGCTGGAGCATCGAGTGTGCGACTCGCAGGATCTCCCCTCTTGGGTCGGTAGGTGCGCGCCCCTTTGTGACCTGCGAGCTGCCCGGGGGCCCCGCGGAGCTCGAGGCCGGCTGGCGTGGGGGGGTGGCCGGTGGGGCCTGACTAACCGCGCTGGGCCCCGGCTGGGGAGGGTCGGGCTCCTGGGCCTGCGCCTTCGACACTTGCTTCTGTTCGTTGAGTCTTCTTTTTTGCCAGCCGCGCTAGTACCCGTGTAGTTTCTTGGCCTGGTTGTGCAGTCACATTTTACATTTGTTAGAACATCCTCTTAAAACAGAGTTTTGTGCGGGACGCAGGGACAGCGGGGCAGCCGCGGGTGGCCCCTCACTTCCGCCATCAGGGCGGTTCTTCCTCATTTCTTGTAGAACTGGGACCCTTGGTGGCCGGAGGGTGAACTGAAAACACTACATTTACATTCAAAAGCCTCCTGAATTGTTTCTCAGTTCCTGAGAGCACCACCTTCCTCCTGTGCTTAGTCACCGCCAAACTAGTTTCTTTGACGGGGAAGGAACACCCCCTTCCCCAGAGTCTCCCACTCGCAGTCTCTGCTGCCCACGATGCCCCCAGCGTGACATCTCTCCCTAGTTTTAACATAGATTTTAACTTGGAAGCGTTTTTGTGAACAGATATGCCCCTTCAAACGGCATTTCGAGTATCCTGGTGAAGAAACAAGACAAAAATATCAGCAACTTTGCTTTTCCCTTCAGAGCCAGTTTTCTACGGAAAGTTTACACAGGAGCCCCGACCTTGCCTCAGAAGGTGTTTGCCCAGGGGAGCGCTCCCAGAGCCCGAGGGTGGGAAGAAGTGCAGAAGACTACACTTCACCTCATCTTGAATTTTTCTCTACTTGACAACATTTGCTGGAGTTGGGGAATGAATCTGGGAGAGTCCCATCCTAGTGTCCTGAAATAAGTTTCTCTTCCGCAGATTTCTCCTTTCCCCAGGAAGAAAAATGGTATCTGCTGCAGTTGATCCACAGCCGGTATGACTTTTTGAATAGCTCTTTCTTGATTCCTTTCCCTCCCCATTTGTTTTGAGGCGTTTACCCCCTCCTTTTCTTGATTGCAGAGCGTGGTAACTAGGGTGGCCAACCTACCCTTGGTGAGCTCCACATATGACCTCGTCTCCTCGGCTTATGTCAGTACAAAGGATCAGTACCCTTACTTGAAGTCTGTGTGCGAGATGGCAGAGAAGGGTGTGAAGACCATCACATCGGTGGCTGTGATGAGCGCTCTGCCCATCATCCAGAAGCTAGAGCCACAAAGTGAGTTCTGATTCCCCCCTCAAGATTTAGCCCAAGGGACCTGTTAGGAGAGAGCCTGGAGCTGGTATGAGTATGGTAAATGCCAGCCTAGTGCCCTGAGCACATAGTGGCAGCATCCTCAGGTTTTCCTGAGGCACATGCTGCCTTTGTCTAGAAACTGCCTGGTGACCCTCATTGTCATAGAAGGCCTGCTTCATAGCAATGGCAGATGTTCATGATAACTTTTTAAAAATCCCCCAAAGATGTGCCCTGCTGGTGTGGCTCACTGGTTGAGCATTGACCCATACATCGAGAGGTTGCTGGTTCGATTCCCAGTCAGGGCGCATGCCCAGGTTGTGGGCCCAATCTCCAGTGGGGGCATGCAGGAGGCGGCCAGTCAATGTTCTCTCTCATCAGTATTTCTATCTCTCTCTTCCTCTCCCTTCCTCTCTCTCTAAAATCAATAAAGAAAAAATATTTATTAACAAATAAAACCCCCCTGAAGATGCTTCTATGTTTAGTAATTGAGGTCACAAGGAGAGCCAGTGTGTGAACTGAAATTGACTTCCCCGGGACCAAGACAGTACATGAACTGCTTTAAAAATAGATAATAACATCTTTATTGAGATATAATTAACACACTATACAATTCACCCACTTAATGTGTACAAGTCTGTGTCGTTTTTTTGTGTTTTAGTATATTTACAGAGTTGTGCAAGCATCACCGCAATCAATTTTAGAACATTTTTATCATACCAGTTTCTTTTTGGATGATGAAAAAGTTCTGGGAATGATATGGGTGATAGCTGCAGAACATGCCAGTATTTCTTTTTTTTTATTGTGGAATAATATTCCATTGTGTGGTTAGATTATATTTTATCAGTTGATAGACATTTGGGCGCTTTTAATTTTTGGCAATAAGAATAATGAATGCCAAAAACGTATATATTTGTAAGTTTTTGTGTGGACACGTTTTCAGTTCTCTTGGGTATATTACCTAGGAGTAGAATAGCCAGGTCATGTAACTTCTTCAAGCTTTTGAGGAACTGCTAGACTGTCTTCCAAAGTGGCTTGCCATTTTACATTCCCACTAGCAGTGTATCAAAGTTTTCCACATGAACCCTTTTGAATGAAGGTTTAAGTCATTACCCCAAATGGTTAAGTCATGGACTCTCTGGAGTATAAGGAACCTTTAGAGATCAGTTTTCCAGCTCTGCTACTTCCCAAATGAATTTAGGACTAGTGCTTGGATTGGTCAGTATTCAGGGAGAGCTTGGACTAAAGTCTAGGCCTTGTTAGGGAGATCCAAGGTGCTGTTAGCATACCATTTCCTGTTGCCACATATTGCATTAAGTGTAGGTAGGGGGTTAAAACAGCATGGAGATAAATAGAAAAGCAGATCACATGACTGGTAAGCAACAAGTGCATAAATACATATTTATTTATTTTATTTATTTATCTTTATTGTTGAATGTATTACAGATGTTCCTCATTTTTCCCCCGTTGACCCCCTCCTCCCCACTCCTGCGCCCCCCCCCCCCCGCCCGCCTTTTCCCACACTATTGTCTGTGTCCATTGGTTATGCATACATGCATATAAGTTCTTTGGTTTATTTCTTCCCACCCCCCCGCCACCCCCTTCCCTTTGAGGTTTGTCAGTCTAGCAATGAATTTGTACTTCTTAATCCCTTCACCTTTTTCACCATTCCCCCAACCCCCCTCCCATCTGGCAACCAACAAAATGTTCTCTGTATCTATGAGAATGTTTCTGTTCTGTTTGTTCATTTTGTTTGTAGATTCAATTGTTGATAGCTATGTATTCATTGCCATTTTGTTTGTTCATATTTTTTATCTTTTTTTTCAAGAAGACCCTTCAACATTTCATATAATAATGGTTTGGTGGTGATGAACTCCTTTAGCTCTTCCTTGTATGGGAAACTCTTTATATGGCCATCTGTTCTAAATGACAGCTTTGCAGGATAGAATAATCTTGGTTGTAGGTTCTTGCTTTTCATCACTCTGAATATTTCTTGCCACTCCCTTCTGGCCTGCAAAGTTTCTTTTGAGAAATCAGCTGACAGCATTACGGGAACTCCCTTGTAGGTAACTAACTGCTTTTCTCTTGCTGCTTTTAAGATTCTCTCTTTGTCTTGAACCTTTTACATTTTGATGATGATGTGTGTTGCTGTGGGCCTCTTGGGGTTCATCTTGTTTGGGACTCTCTGTGCTTCCTGGACTTGTATGTCTGTTTCCTTTACCAAGTTAGGGAAGTGTTCTGCCGTTATTGTTTCAAATAGGTTTTCGATTTCTTGTTCTCTCTCCTCATCTTCTGGCACCCCCAAGATGCGAATGTTGGCATGCTTGAAGTTGTCCCAGAGGCTCCTTACACTATCCTCATTTTTTTGGATTCTTTTTTCTTTTTGCTGTTCTGATTGGGTATTTTTTGCTTTCTTATATTCCAAATTGATGGTTTGCTTCTTGGCTTTACCTAATCTACTGTTAAATCTGTGTAAATTACTCTTTATTTCAGTTAGTGCCTCCTTCATTTCTGACTGTGCATCCTTCATTTCTGACTAAATACATATTTAGCATCTTAACTAAGTCAGCACAGTGAAGAGTTAAAGAAGACATCAGGTCTTTCTAAGGAGAAGAACTCTTGAGAGTTCTCAGATACCTTATTCCCTGAATGAGGATTCAGGTGAAGCCTGGCTTCTCTCAGCATTAACCTTAGGAACCAGTGAAAGAGGAAGAAGTTTCTTAGCCAGCTTCCTACCTGGCTTGTCACTTCTTCTGCCTGCTGCTCCCCACCCCCTTATTTCCCTGTCAGTAGGAGAAGGTTGCCAGCAGCATACTGAGCTACTTCCTGTCTGAGCTAGGGAAACTAGGCAGTGCATAGTGTGATAAATGAAGATCGGTGTTCTTGCTGATTTTTATAACTAACTGTTTAAGGTATAATAGTATGTATTCATTCTATACCTACACTGTTAACATTTTCCCCATGTGTGATTCTTCTAGTTGCTGTTGCCAATACTTATGCATGTATGGGGCTAGACAGGATTGAGGAGAAACTGCCTATTCTGAATCAGCCAACAAACCAGGTGAGCTCGGGACAGAGTGCTGAGTCTTTCCACCTCACATATTTTCATGTTCTGTCATTTAGCATAACTGGTTCCCATGTGGTGTTCGGGAAATGCACAGGTGGTATATAGAACCTTTTCTCCCTTGGTGTCTGAGAGCACATCCAGTAAGATGGAGAAACAGACATGTCTGCCTATACCATTTTGACACATTTTATATATTTACCTCATTTGCTCCTTCAACAACCCTTGAGTGGTGACAGGTAGGGCAAATATACCTTTAAGGAAATTGAGGGTCATCAATTCTTAGTGACTTGCCCAAGACATAAACCTAGAGAGTGGAAGGACCTGATGTCTTCTTTAACTCTTCACTGTGCTGCCTTAGTTAAGATGCTAAATATGTATTTATGCTCTTGTTGCTTATCAGCCATATGATCTACTTTTCTACGTATAGGTTGTTGCCAATGCCAAAGGTGCTGTGACGGGGGCAAAAGATGCTGTGACAATGACCGTGACTGGGGCCAAGGATTCCGTGGCCAGCACAATCACTGGGGTGATGGACAAGACCAAAGGAGCCGTGACTGGCAGTGTGGAGAAGACCAAGTCCGTGGTCAATGGCAGCATTAACACAGTCATGGAGAGTCGGATGATGCAGCTAGTGAACAGTGGAGTGGAAAATGCACTCACCACATCAGAGCTGCTGGTAGACCAGTATCTCCCTCTCACTGAGGAAGAGCTAGGTAAGTGGATTTTTTTCTTGAAATAATGTTGCATACCCTAAATCAGCTTCATTGAGATATACTTTATATACCAAAAAAATAAACCTTTTTCATACTAAATTTACAGTATCTAAATTTACAGTTGTGCAGTCATCCCCACAGTCCAGTTTTAGAACATTTCTATCACCCTAAAAGATTCTTCATGCCTGAATCTCCATTATCTCCCTCAGACAACCACTAATCTTTCTGTCCTTATAGATTTTCTTTCTTTTTTTCTTTTTTATTGATTTCAGAAAGAGGAAGGGAGAGGGAGAGCGGGATGGAAACATCGATGTGAGAGAGATTGGCTGCCTCCTGTATGCCCCCTACTGGAGATTGAGCCTACAAGCCTGGCATGTGCCCTGACCGAGGAGTCCAACTGGTGACCTCCTGGTGCTTGGGATGATGCTTAACCAATTGAACCACACCAGCCGGGCTAGATTTTCTTTCTTAAAACAATCTTAAGTCTCATATTGAACTATACATAGTAAGTTTTGAAGAAATTAGCCTAGAGAAATATCTTCTACAAATGGATAGTCCTTAATAGGCTGCTTTACAGAATCATTAACATTTACTGGCTACTGTATGCCAAGTACTGTGTTGCTCAAGAAGCTTGCTCTAGTGAGAAGAGACGTGTAGATGAACCTGTTAGATGCAGTGATATGTTCTAGGTAGTCAAGCCCAGTAGATGAGTTGTCTTGGGAAAATGAGTGCATAATTGCTAGGTGGGTGTGTAGAATCAACAAAATCAATATCCATGTTGGAGTCCAGACCTCATCACTTATAGGTGTGGTCCCTTATGTTTTTGTCCCTTCTTTTTAACTTCAGAAAAAGAAGCAAAAAAAATAGAAGGATTTGATACTGTTCAGAAACCAAGTTATTATATTAGGCTGGGATCTCTGTCTACCAAGCTCCGCTCACGTGCCTACCAGCAGGCTCTCTGCAGGGTGAAAGACGCTAAGCAAAAAAGCCAAGAGACCATTTCTCAGCTCCATTCCACTGTTAACCTGGTGAGTAAATGTTCATTTAAAGGTATCTAAAATAAATTATGTATCTCAAGGGATAAGAGTAAATGTAATCATGAAATCCAAGAATTTTAATTTTACCAAACAAATGAACAACTCAGTAGGAAATGGGTGAAGAGTACACAGACACCTCACAGAAAAGGAAGTGTAAATAGTTGAAATATATGAAGCTATGTTAATGTTACCCTGAAGGGTCAAATTATAGATGCCTCTCTTTTCCTAACACACTGGCAAAGTGTTGATGCTGTGGGCAATGGTGTAAAAAAAGGTGTACTTGTGGACTTCTGAAAGATTTCAGGGATGGTTCTTGGAAAGTTATAAACATACCTATTCCTCAGCAGTTTTAATTTTAGAAACATCCCACAGGTATGTATGTATGTTTAGAGGTGCAGAAGACTATAAACAATGCAGGTCAACTAATAAGAAACTAATTAAATTGATACATTATAAAAGACTATTGTGTAGCCATTAAAGATTGCCAAGTTACAGAACAGTATGTACTGTACTGCCACTCTTGGGAGGGGAAATGGGCCACTGACAACAGAGAAGAGGAAATTTTAATTCTTTTCTCTTTTGTCATTTTTTTCCTTTTTCTTTTCTTTTTTTTTTGGTACATGCCCCTAGCAGGAACTGAACCCGAGACTCTCCAGTCCACAGGCCGACGCTCCAACCACTGAGCCAAACCAGCCAGGGCTGTCATTTTTTTCTTATATTTTACACATAAAGATTAAATTTCAGTTGCCTTGCCCTGGCCGGTTTAGCTCAGCAGTTAGAGTGTCGACCTGCGGTCCAGAGAGACCCGGGTTCGGTTCCCGCTAAGGGCACATACCTCAGTTGCAGTTTGTCCCCAGCCCTGGTTGGTTGTACGGGTGGCAACCACTCGATGTGTCCCTTTGACATCGATGTTTCTCTCTCTCTCTGTTCTTCTCTCTCCCTCCCACTCTACCTGAACAAAAAAATGGAAAAATGTCCTCGGTGAGGATGATAAAAAAAATAAAAAGAAAAAATTTCAGTTGCCTTACCTATGCTAAATTGGAAGTAAATTTGGAGACTGGTTTAATAGTTAAATAGAGGCAGCAAAGAAGTACGATTACTTGATAATAAATAATGATGATGGCAGGGATTGTCCTTAAATTCTTATGGATATTCTTGGATTTTATGTTCTGTGATTTGCATCATAGATCTGAGAACAGGCTGACATAAATGTCTGACTGCTCCTCTGTTTTATTTCAATGTGTTCTAGATTGAATTTGCCAGGGAGAATGTGCATAGTGCCAACCAGAGAATTCAGGATGCTCAGGATAAGTTCTATCTCTCTTGGGTAGAGTGGAAGAGAAGCATTGGCTACGATGACACTGATGAATCCCACTGTACTGAGGTGAGACGACTTGGACACAGTTATCCATGACACTTTCTGAAGAAGTTCTACCAGACTTTTTTTTTTTTTTTTTTCAATTTTTCCATTATTCCTCTTAGAATATTATTCTCCAGCAAAAGTTTGAACAGAAAAGTAAAGTTATATGATAGAAAAGCAAAATAGGCAGTAACTTTAACAACCTACAGATATGCATTTTGCTCCAAATGGGATACAGCTAAATGAGAAACATGGGCCTTGCCCTCAGTACAGACCAAGAGGGGATATAGGTGTTTTTATGTCATGGTGTTTTTGACAACATAAAAACAGGGACTATGAGACTACATAGGAAAAATACCTAACTTGGTCTTGGAGTGAGGATGGGTGAGTCAGATGACTTCCTGGAGGAGGTGAATGTTGAGCTGGGATTGATGGGAGAATAAACTAGGTGAAAGGGCTGTAAGGAGACTAATCTTCCAGACAGAAGAAATAGCATGTTGTAGTCCTTGAAAGTGGTTCTTTAGGTTCCAAAATATAGTATGCATATCTATGAAATGTGAATAAAGAGACTGCTGCACTCAGGGTTGTTATGAGGATTTTAAAAGCTGAAGAACTTACATATGTGGTGGACACATAACCAGCTTATTGTAATTGAACTAATTCATATTTGGCACTGTTGGGATGACTGCTAATTTTAAACTTGTTTTATTTTTAGCACATCGAGTCACGTACTCTTGCTATTGCCCGAAACTTGACTCAGCAGCTGCAGACCACGTGCTCCACCCTCCTGTCCAACATCCAAGGGTTACCGCAGAACATCCAAGATCAGGCCAGTCACTTGGGGGTGATGGCTGGAGACATCTACTCAGTGTTCCGCAACGCTGCCTCCTTTAAAGAAGTGTCTGATGGCTTCCTCACTTCTAGCAAGGGGCAGCTGCAGAAAATGAAGGAGTCTTTAGATGATGTGATGGATTATCTTGTTAACAACACACCCCTCAACTGGCTGGTAGGTCCCTTTTATCCTCAGATGACCGAGTCTCCGAATACTCGGGACCCAGTTGCAGAGAAAGACACAACCAGCCAGGAGGCCCAGCAACCTGAGCACAAAACACATTAATTCTGTCCCTGTCACCAGTGCATGGTGTAGCCAGCCAGATGACACCTTCTGTTATATTGAAATTAACCTGCTTGACAACTCTGAATTGGGGCAACAGGCAGCTAGAAAACAGGTCCCTTCATTATAGCCATTTCCAACTGGATTAATACTTTTAAAGTTTCTGGCATTAGCAGATGTGTTCTTTTGTTTACCTGGCTGGTATGACAAGAATGATAGACTGGTCAGAGCCTAGTCAGAGGTCACAAAAAGTTACGTTACATTTATGGTCTCATTCTGTTGCCACTGTTGCTGTCTGTCTGTATTGAATAAAAACACCTTCATGTGGGCTGTCGGATGACCTGGTGTTTGCTCCGGTGATCTGAGAAGGCCTCATCATTGTTTTGTCTCACAATGTATGCTTGTACTACTTTAGTTTGTTTATTTTTCATAAGGAATGCCTCCTGTGAGATCAATAAAATTCACTGTAGTATAGATCAGTTTTATACTGTGTTCCATGTGCTTTGTGTGTTGCTTTCATAGAGCTGCTTGGCCTGCGTGACAGGGTTATTAATATACATGCGTATTAAATTTCAAATGGCTTGTTAGAGGGAATTTGGCAGTGTGATAACATTGGATGAGTAATGTCAAAAATGGAACGTTTGGTAATAGGTGTTAAACAAGTGAAAAGCTAATGTGCATATAAGAACTTTATGGGGTGACAGTTGCCTTCATTTGTCCATTTACTGGATCCCTTGAGAGTGGGTTTTTAGGCCAGTAGAAGGACCTCCTCATGACTGACTGCCTTGCTGAAAAGGAATCAGAGTTGAAAGGAAGCAAGTGAGTGACTGTTTGCACCAGTCTCACATAAAGGCAGTAGGCGTTTCTCACCCACAGGCCATTCAGACTGTGACCCTTGCAGTGAGATTTTTTGTGTCTAGTCTTGGCTGGACTGTGTTGTCACTAATAGTTGTTGGTAGGAAACCTTTACAACCCTGGCCGGGTAACTCAGTTGGTTATAGAGCGTCATGCCAATATGCCAAGGTTGTGGGTTTGGTACCCAGTCAGGGCACACATAAGAATCAACCAATAAGTGCATAAATAAGTGGACCAACAAATTGATGTCTCCTTCTGTCTCTCAAATCCATAAATAAAATTAAAGAAAAAAAGAAACCTTTAGAAGATCATATGAGAGTAGTCAGATCAGAAATAAAAAACTTTGGACACCCTGTAGAAGAGGGTTTATCTTACCTCCTGCCTAGGGTGTTCGGAATTCTAGCTCCTTCAGTGTTGGTCAGTTACTTGGGAAATATCATAAATCTCCTTATAAAAAGGCTGCAGAATGCCAAATTGTTTCCAAGAAAAAAAAATCTTAGAATTTGTGAAATAGAACTACATGCCTCTGCCCGTCCTTACTAAAAGGTAAGCAAGGCTGCCCTTCAGCAGAACCAAAGTCTAAATCTAGTTTGTTTCCTCTTTCTATTCGGGTTCGCCTCTTTCTCCCATGAAAACAAGGAAGCAGCACATAACTTTACATGCACTGGTGTGAATGAATCTATCAAAACTAAGTCATAGAGCTAAATCCTCCCCCCGAGGTAACAACAGGAATCAGTAAACATGTGAGTTGAATTGAAGGGTAAGGACTCACTGAGATTCTTGAAGCTAAAGAGCTTCTGGTTTCTGGGAAGATGGGACTATCCTGATTTATGGGCTTCGGGAATAGTCTATCCATTCACTTGCCTGTCAGCCTGCCCTCAGTGAGTGGCATTTTCTAGAGCCTCTAAAATTGTTTTACTTTAGTTCAAACTGGACATGACTCTGCCCCTTTTTGCCTCAAAACTCCAAGGCTGGTAATTTGTGGTTTATTCTAATTGGTTGAAAAATTCATATACTATAGCTTTCTTACCCGAACATAAACTTTGGCATTTTCCCATCATAAGAGTTACAGTGCCAACTGAATTGCTTGTGAAAAGGAGATGTTTCAGAGCTATTCTTCATGAGCAAGACAATATAAAGGAGACTTCTTAGCTTTTGGAAGAGCACCACTAGCCCTTGCTTTTTGCCATGAGCTATGGACACTGGTGGTGGTTTTGTCTGTCTTTGTGTCTTAAGTTTGTGCCTAAAAGCATTTCATTCTATGCATTTCGACATGCCTCAAAATTTGTAGTGTTCTTGCATCTTAAACTTTATGGTTGTATAAACTGGCAGTTTTGGTTTAACAGACTTTCCCCTAAGGAGGACAATATTTTTGAGGAAAACAGCTAAGCCTAGGCCAGTAACTATGGCAGGCGTTTAAACACTGAGCTGCCTGAAGTCTGGCATGGTCTGCCCAAATGTTCAAGGCTGGGTTTTCCTTTGTATGTAATAATAATTTGGACTTTATCGTTATCTCTGGGTAGAAAAAAAAATCACAGGGACGTGGTGTACTAGCCATTAATTTCTTAGTCTTAGTTTTCTCATCTGTTATAAAATTAGTGATGCCTCAACAGATGAAAGTGAAGTATGAAGATGGGCTATCTTTTTCTATTTTTGCACTAGAGGCTTGGGGACACCGTCTGGGACAGTGACGTGCAATATCTTTAACTTGGAAGTTTGGAAGTTTAGGTGTGAGTGTGTACTGTGAGGTCATGATTAGTCAAATATTTCCACTTTGTTAAGGCATTATGGATATTGAAAAACTAAAAAAATGAAAAGGGAAAAACTAAAATGTGGCTTGATTGAGACAACCTCTTTTAGAGTTTCATGGAGGTGGTAGTGAGGGAAGGAGGAAGAAGGAGCAGGGTAGATATTTGTGCATATATCTATCAGGTGTGGGGGCATGGAAAGGAGGGCCTCTTGCCAGCCTGACCCTCCTGGGCTCTCATGGACTCGGGACTGGGTCAGATGGCCTTGGTCCTGATTCAGTTTCAGGAGTGGCCTACACTGAGGCCTGCACAGCTAATGGTCTTGTGAGATGTCCCTGCTCTCTAAATCAAAGTATTTATTGCTTGTATCCCAGGGCAACACTTTCATGCTATAGGTGTCCACCTTCCTAGCAGGTATTTTATAATATTTCTACAGTAACCATTTGGTAAGGAAAAGATACTGAATCATCCCACTGTTGAGTATATGTTTCTAGTCTAAAAGGTAATAGCATCAAACTGTTGAGAGAGAAGAATAAGAAGTCTCTTCAGGCATAAGGCATAAGTCTCTAAAGCCAAAGATATGTTTTATGGTGTGTTCCCTATTCTCCTTGCTTACCTTTTGAGATTCTGATGCCACTCTCCACGTTTTAGAAGTTACTGATTCCTGGAAGAAATGGTGTCAAGTGGACCCTCACTGGGATAAGCCCAGGTCATACTTTTAGGTCTGGTGAGGGGTGAAGCCTTCTTTTCTTTTAAATAATTTTTTTTCCCCCTGACTTTTTTGTTCTTTAAAAAAAAAAAAAAACATCTTTCTTTCTTGGGTGAAACCTTCTTCTCCTCCCCCTCCTCCTTTTTCTTCTTCTTCTCCTCTTTCTTCTTCTTCTTCCTCCCCTGCCCCTCCTCCTCCTTCTCTTCCTCCTCCTCCTCCTCCTTTTTCTTCTTCTTCAAAATATGTTTTTATTGATTTTTCAGAGAGAAAGGAAGGGAGAGAAAAATAGAGACCTCCATGTGAGAGAGAAACATGGATCGGCTGCCTCCTGCATGCCCCCCAGCGGGGATTGAGCCTGAAACCCTGGCATGTGCCTCGACCAGGAATCAAACTGGGACCTCTCAGACCATGGGATGATGTTCAAGCCACTGAACCGCACTGGCTGGGGTTTTTTTGTTTTTGTTTTTTAATCCACACCTGAGGACATGTTTATTATTGATTTGAGAGAGAGAGAGAGAGAAATATTAGTTGGTTGCCTCTTACATGACCAGGGTTCAAACCTGCAACCTAGGTATATGCCCTGATCAGTAATTGAACACACAACCTTTCTGTGTACCGGATGATACTCCAACCAATTGAACCACCTGGCCAGGGCTTGGGTGAAGCCTTCTTGATTGCCACTGAGTGGGTGCTGTACTCAGATGGAAAAGGCTGAAAAGGAAAATCACATCTTCAGTTGGTGCTGAGGTGGTAAGAAGCTGGCAGCTTATTGAGTTTGACTTGGAGACTGCTGAATCTTTTTGTTGTTAATCCTCACCCGAGGATATTTTTTTCCATTGAGTTTTAGAGAGAGTGGGAGGGAGGGAGGAAGGGATGGGGGGAGAGAGAGAAACATCAATGTGAGAGAGAAATTGATTGCCTCCCACATTCACCAACATGGGGACCTGGGATCGAGCTTGCAATCCAGGTACATGCCGTTGACTGGAAATCGAGCCAGAGACCCTTTGATGCACAGGCTGACGCTCTAACCACCTAGCCAGACCAGCCAGGGCAATATGATGAATTCTTTAGTTAAGATTGTCGGTAAGATGACTAAGTGAAATGATAAGAAGGCAGTATGAAAGGCATATGTTTGGAGGTAGGACAGAGTTGCCTGGGATTCTTCCATGCTTGCTTAAACTGGGCTTGCATTAAAGAAAAAATTATGTATATATAAAACTGGGCTTTCAGATTGGAGAGAAATGGATTATAATGTAATGAAAGGCTTTGAATCTCACAGGGAAGCCTAGTCTTGATGTAGAATGGACCTTCTAGGTTATTTAGCTTGGTACTGGTTTTATGAAAGTGCTGTTTGAGAGAACCATATAAAATATATTAAAGCCATATCATAATATGTACATTTTGGGCTAACCCTGAAAAAATATAATTGGTGTATTCATTGGTTAGAGACAATGTGGATATGTAGTTACATTATTATATGCACCTACATTAAAAAATGATTTGATTCAATATTTGAATTCCTAATAGTATAAGGCATGAACTCTACCCTATTGAGAATGTAAAACAACAGAAACTGTCCTCAAGAGACTTGTAAAAGTCTTAGGAGAGGCTGGTTGATGAATATTCAAGAACTGTCTTGGTATAAAGCTCTATTTGTCCTTCACCTTTAACGGCCCCGGGTTGCTAATTTTTTAATTCCCTACCTTTATTACAAAATTACCTGCAGAATATGACATTTCAGCATGAAGCTGTACAGAGCAAATATTTTAGCTTTAAGTTTTATTGATCAGAGTGAAAGAGAGCACTAACCTAAGTTATATCTCCTCTGAGGGGAACAAAGTTCTGATGTCTTCTAGAACTTAAGAAAGTAGTAAAGAGTGTTGTTATTAATTGACATTTTACTAAAGTAATGAATAAGTGAAGTGGTGCTTTGTGTAAGTATCATTGATGAAAAATGGTTACTATTTAGATTGTTTTCGTTCCTCTTGGGTATGTACCTAGGGGAATTGCACGTGGGTCATATGGTCACTGTGTTTCTTTGAGGAACTGTCAGGCTGTTTTCCAAAGCGCCTGCAGCATTTGCGTTCTCACCAGCAGGGTATGAGGGTTCTGATTTCTCCAGATCTTCGTCGATACTTGTTTGACTTTTTGATTCTAGTCAACTA